AAGGGATATATATATAAGCTGTTGATGTCCTAATGATGTTAATTTAAAATGGACAGGAATGCTTACACTCTGGTGCTTCACGGGCATGGAGAGATGTTATACTCTCGACTCCAGGAAGTTGTCACAGAATATCTGGTAGAAAAGGTATCAAACTGCGTTAACTACAGTTGAACCTCCATTAAATGGCCACCCTTGGGAAAATGGAGGTGTCTGCTTAATAGGGGGTTTTATTGACAATATTTCACTGACAGTAATTTTGGGACTTTGATAACTGGCACTTAATGAGGGGTGACCGCTTACTGGATGGCCACTTTATAGAGGTTCGACTGTACTTTGATTTCCTAAAAAATTAAGCTGGTTCTGAACCCAATCCACAATTTTTTTGATACCCTGACTCCAGCATTATCAAATTTTTACCCCTTGAATTCTTTGGCTGATCACATAGAATTCTATGAGAGATTAAAAATGCCGTTTACCGTTTGCAAATATCTGCATTAGTTTGGGAGATATTTGAGTTTGAAAAATGTGTTAAATATGCAAATGAGACTGATGACGTCTTACGCTCAACCAAATATTACATCAAGTATATAAATAGAGCTATCTCGGTCAATGTGCAGCAGAAACCATTGAAACTTGGTAGGCTCTTAGTTCTACATGCAACACACCTAAGGCTGTAAACATTCCAGTTCCTATGACAACCCACTCTTTTCCAGTCCCCTCCAACCTGATTTCAATATTTTAGTGATTTTCAGCGCGAAAAACATTAAGCAAGGCCATGAAATCGACTAACATATTTATATGCTTGCTGGGTCATGCAGATCAGGTACCATTGGCAAATATCAACGTAGGACGCTAAAGGTGGCCAGGAAAGCCTTTAATATTAGGGAGGTCTGGAACCCAGTATCTTGCCATGGTATCAAAATTGTTAGGTTCATATTCTGGGGCACCTCAAGTAGAATCGTCCTGCCAAGAGTCATTCATTTCTGATTCAAAGTGGCTGAGATATCTTGTTCATCCGAAAACGGGCTGGGTATAAAATGAAAGTAAAATGTACGTCGTACTAACGTTCTGAAGGGAAGTAATTATCTGTGTATTTGGAGAACAAGTTCGATAATAATGCTGTAAATTGACCTGAGTTCAAGCCTGTTAGCTCAAGTATTTACTTTGCATGTCCTCGGCACATTTTCAGAGAGGATCTTAACAAGCTTCCATTGTATTTCTCTCAAGGTATGCCACGATGTATTGCTTTCACACCATGACAACTTCCTGGACACACTGAATACTGCCTGGAGTAGGTATCAGGAATCGATGGAATTTATTAGAGATATCCTTATGTACATGGTATGTTCCTTTCCTACATGTTGATCTAACATAATAAATAACTTAACTGGAGTGAAAACTTAACAGCAGTTTACTAGTAAGTGAATATGAAATATCATAATTATTGTTATGGCAAACTGTTCCATGGTGAATAAAAAAGTTATGACTGGTTCCCTGAGAAATCTGAATTTTACAATACTAACCATTAAGATGCACCGCTCGTTTCAGCGAATTGCTTCTTCCAAACATTGCACAAAAGAAAACAGTTCGTACGTGTAAGTAGAAATCTTTTCCCTTCGTGTTTGGTGGGCAATTGCAGTTTAAAACTCATTCATAGTACAGTCAAAATCAGTGAAAATTGACCACATCGTTTCTTTGTTCATTTGTTCAATGGATGTTTTCTCAATCACACGGAAAGCTATACCTCCAAGAGCTTTCCAAAAATACGTTATTCCCACCCCACACCCGCCACCCCGCCTAGGAAATTTTGAAATTCACAGGCTTGGAAATTCTATTTCAGTCTTTTCCAGTCAGTATTTGGGCCTAAACTGAAGAACAATCAAACCTATGAGTTTAGCAACCGTTCTTTTACTCATAATTTCAAGGAGCTCGATCAGAGAATCTTTCCTATTTTGTTTGTTATTTAGTATTAAAATATGCAAGCAAACTCCATGATTGTTCATCAGTGATGATTAAACATTTGGTGATTGAATATGTCCATCTCGCTCTCCTGCCGAGCCATTCTTTAGTTAAGTATTATGTGTTATATTTGTTAATTGTATTCGCAGGACAGAGTTTATGTTCACCAAAATGGTGTTCACGATGTTCTCACGTTAGGATCAATTCTTTTTAGGGACTTGGTAAGTTTTTTTTGAAATTATTTTCCCGATTGTTATACAGTGGAACCTCGTCAATCCGGTCACCAATGGGCCGCAAAAATCTGGCCGTATTAAAGGGTTCTTTAAATACGAAAATGGCTGACCGAGCTTTTGTTCGGGCAAGAATAAAGTAGCCGTAATAACGAGGTGGCCGTACTAACGGGGTGGCCTTAAGGCGGGGTTCCAACCGTGGCAATAATTTGTGCCAAATCACTCATATGCACTTTGATTTCGTGACTCCTAAGGGCCTTAAAATCACTTCAAACTATGGGAAGAGAGTGGAGAAAAAAAAAGTTGGACATTCCTTGTAATTTGCATATCGTCTACTTTATATCGGCTCTGGCGAAAACACTGTTTTCATAAATCCAGACATGTTTATATTTTGGTAACAATCAAATTGCCGTCAAAGTTTTATGCGTTTGTCCTTGTATTGATTGCATATGAAATCATTGTTATGGCTGCACGGGTTTGCCTCATGATCCACAGACTACTTAGTCAATGTTATAATGAGATTCACAGTCAATAAGAGGACATGCGCATAGCTTTTCACAACAACAAAAAGCGAAAATGGTCAGAAGTAAACTGGTGAATCTTTTAGACAAGAGCTGCTGTTAAGTAAAAGTATGAGAGAACCAGAAACAAGATTTCCATGATTCTATTCTTGC